AACAGTGAGAGGCCCACGTAACACACACACACACACACACACACACACACACACACACACACACACACACACAAACTGTCACAGCTGGACTGAATCTTCAGAGTTGATCTCAGGACATGAGTCCACCTTCTCCCCAGTTTGCCGGCTTTTCTGATTAAAGCATCTTTCCTTTCTACCAACAACTGCCTCTCAATTATTGAATTTCGAGCCGCAAGCAGCCAGACCTCAGTTCGGTAACATTGTTTTCAGGATCTATTTTTATTAATTTCTGTCTCCTCTTCCAAATAGTAAGTTCTGTGAAGACAAGATTGTGTCTTTTTGGCTAACCATTATATTCCAAATCCTGACACTGTGCCTGGCACATAATGGAGACTAAACCAATATTTACTGAGTGAATGAATGACTGAAGGAGTAAATGAGAAAAGCAGGGATAATAATAGCACTTACTTTATAGAGTAATTCTAAGGATTAAATGAGACGTGTGCAAGTCAATGATACAATGCCTGGCATGTAAGTTTGTGATAAAAGTAGGTGGTTGTTGTTTAAATAATAATAACTTGATGTTGTTATTCTGGAACAGAGCCCAGTTGCAATCTTAGTACAGTATAATGGGAGTCCTACTTTCTTCTCAGCTGAAAAGGAAGCTACTGCAGAGATTCTGATATCCCCAAGCTGCTGGTTCAAAATGCCCAAACAGGTGAGGAAAGGGGCAAACACATTGACAATTTATACCAAAATCAGGAACAGGAAGGCCCTGGGACTTCTCTGGTGGTCCAGCGGGTAAGACTCCACACTCCCAATGCAGGGGGCCCAGGTTCAATCCTGGTCAGGGAACTAGATCCCACATGCATGCCACGACTAAGAGTCTGCATGCCACAACTAAGAAGTTCACATGCTGCAACCAAGAAGCCCGCATGCTGCACCTAAGAGCCCACATGCCTCAAAGAAGACCCCGCATGCCGCAACTAAGACCTGGCGTGGCCAAAATAAATAAATAAATAATATTTAAAAAAATACTTTCAGAAAAACAAAAGGAACAAAAAGGCCCAAGATAGTAGGGATGGTAGCAGCAATGGAGGAGACTGGGTTCAGGCAATGGCTAAGAAGGTTGACCATCTGGAGAAACACCTACAGATGACCTTGAGAGGATCTGGCAGCTCAGGGCCACATCAGTGACCTCCAGCCCAACAACAGCCCAAGGTCAACCAGACGCTACAGGATATTTAAAAAGGGCAGAGGCAGCAGCTCCCCAATATCAGTGCATCTTGCAGTAACACCCCGCTGAACACCAAATCATGCAGAGCTAAGAGGGGAGACTGACAAGGAAGAAATTTTAGTCTCTTGATTCAAGAACTTTCTGAAGGACTTGCTCTCAAACTTATGTGTGCATTAGAATAAGCAAGAAAGCTGAAGGCGGCTTCACAGACCCTGAACCTATGAAATCAGTAGTCTTGAAACGGATACCTTTTTCTTAGGACTTAACAAGATCCTCAGATGCTCTGGACACAGAGCAAATTTAATAGTCACCTTATTAAGTACTCCCAGAAGCTGTTAAGTGCCTAATTATCCAATGCAAGGATCTTCTAAACTGGAATATTTTCACTGTGTCTAAAAAAAAACTATGCTCTTCATTGAACTTGCACACTCTTACGAAGTTTTAAGTGCACAAAACTAATAAACGTTAAATATGAACCTGGAATAATTACTTAACAGAAAAATGACCAACAAAAAGAAATACTTAATTTTGCAGTACTAAACATGATTCATTAAAGTTTTTATAAATTAAACCTGAGTTTTATTAAACCTTTATATTCAAACTTGTTATAAATACAAGGAAAACTTGTAAGTAATTTGGGCATGTTGAGAAATGCTTAAATACAATTAGCAGTATTTCTAGTCTGTAATCTGAAGTGTAATGCACAACTGAAATCTTTGTTAAATGTAACTCCTTACATTGATATAGTTCAATAACTATACAGAGTTATATTGAATATAGTTAAATATATAAACAACCATATATATTTAATTAAATCTTCAAATCTATTTTTTTAAGGAGAAGGAGAAAAAGGAGGGACTCAGATACCAACCTTGTGCACACATTCAAATTCAAGTGATTGATATCATCTTTATCATCTTTTACAGCAATGTCTAAATCAAAGGCTTCTTGATCTTGGATAGATCTTTGGATTATGGAAGATCTGGAATCTTTCACATTATAAATAACATTAAGCTGTAATAAATAACAAATAAGCATAAATAATAAGTTACTAGCAATAAGTTGCCTTCATTATGTATCCTAAATATTAGGTAATGATTCTCTTTGGGATAAATCCAACTAGATTGGTAATCTTCAACCTAAAAAAAAATTAGTTTTACTAGCTAACGAAGTATCATTAACAACTATAATTATAAAAGTTTATAAACGATGATGTTTAAAATTGAGAAAATTCTTAGGTAATATTCCAAGTATCAGAGACCATCGTGGACAATATTCATGTGCATTTTTTTTTTCAAATAATGTAAAACATTCCCTTGAGGGAAAAAGTTAAACTATTGCCAAGTTTCCTGAAAGCATCCACTAATTTCTAAGCTCTGCTGACCAAGTGGAGTTATTTTTCACAAACTGGAACTATCAGTAAGATAAATCAAAATGTTTTCACCCAAGAGCCTTGGGGGAACAAAAACCTATTCAACTGCTAAGGCTTCTTTTTCGATCACACAATGTTTTTCAAAGAGGATGACATAAATGATGGATTTCAAGTCAACTGGGTCTTTTTCAGCATATACTCTGTGCCCACCACCAATGTGAATGGCGCTGTGGGGACCCTGAGGAGGTGTGAGGACCAGTGTTTTCCTCAAAGGGACCCTAAGATCAGAAGCTTGGGAATGTCCTCTAAATTTCCTAGGCCTGCCTCATGTGAAGTTGAATCTGGATCTATTTAAATTCTTCACCCCTTCCGCTTTTTTTGATACTAAGGTTCATAAACCTTACTATGACTATGTAATATTGTATTTTCTTTTGCTAATACTTAAATCTCTCACACACACACACACACACACACACACACACACACACACACACACGTGCCCCTCCAACCTAAACGTGTAGTATCCACTGTGGATTTACATACTTAAAAAACAAATCCTCTCTCTAAGCCTTCATCTTTCAAATCATCTTTCAAACCTAAGGGTTCCAACTTTTCATTCTGCCATACCTACATCATATAATCCTTCCTCCCCTTGATCATTCTGGAATATCTCAGTCTGGACATTCTCCAACTTTTTCTTAAACTACAATTAAAAGTGTAGAGTGTTCTTGGAGCAGTTGAAGAATGGTTCCATCAATTGGACAGATAGTCTCCGTGATTTTCATTACCCCCTTTCCCGTGGCACGCATTTTCCTTTAGAGACCAATCTCATCACAGAACAAACACGACTACTAGATTTGTCCCCTGGGTCAAATCTATAACTAAGTGTTAGCATTTCTATTTGGTCCACAATAGAGCTCAACTGCTCACTCAGAGAATGTCAAGAAATCTTGCAGTTTATTTCTAACAGCTTTGCTTTTTATCATTTACTGCAAACCTGAGAGTTTTCCTTGCCCTCCTTTTTCCAGAGCACTTACAAAATTATCAACTAAAGGAAATGTCAATACCTATTTCTGGGTGACCAGCTCTTATGCAATCTTTTTCCTCCATTACAAGAAGTACCTATTGGTCCCTACGTTTCATTTTCTGCACGTTAATGCGACATAGGACTGGTGAACATTCTGACCACTAGGTACCATATTTACTGCTGTGTCCTTCAAATCTCAAATAAAAATCATCCGACTTCAGTAATTTATCTACATTTGGTTTATCAAGAATGAGTTCCAACCAATTTGGTGGTTTAAGTACATAAAATTTTTCAATCGTATCTAAAATATCTTATGTATTTACTTTTGGATTTACTCTTCACATGAAAAGACAGCTTGAGAGTGAGAATTTTCACATGGTCTTTGTTAGTAAAGACCAATACAAAGGGACTTCCCTGGCAGTCCAGTAGTTAAGGCTTCGCCTTCCAACACAGGGGGTACGGGTTCGATCCCTGGTTGGGGAGTTAGGATCCCACAGGCCTCATGGTCAAAAAACCAAAACATAAAACAGAAGCAATATTGTAACAAATTCAACAAAGACTTAAAAAAAAAAAAGACCAATACAAATTATTCACTCTTTTCTCTTTCTATCCTTTTCATTGAATACTGTTCTTTTTAACTGTGATTTTTCCTTGATTTTAAAAAACATTTACTGTGTTTTGAGTATCGTACAAAATAATCTTCACATTATTTCTAAGTTTCCAAATTATACCTGACCATGTACCCTTCACATTGTGCCTTAGAAAGTACATCTGTTCTCTCAACTAGAATAGTTGTACTGGTTTTTGAAAAAGTACTTTTTCTCTATAATAGCCTTTTTTTTTTAACTTTCTCAGTAAATCTTTCAGGGTTTGTTTGGTTTGTTTTTTCTAACCAAGCACATAATCTTTTTTAGTACTATCACATGTTATTTTGCACCCCAGTAACATGGTTTTAGGTCCCCATGATTTTCATGTATTATTAAGCATAATAACTTCCATTCAGTATTTTACATACTACTTCCATTTTACTGTATCCCAATTACACCATCAAGGGTAGATTTCTTTAGATTTTCTTCCTAGAGCAGAGCACTGAACATATCATGCTCTAATTGTTTTATTTACTATAATATAAAATCTTACAGCAAAGGGACACATTTCCTATCTTCAAGTCAATTACTTATAATACCATGTTGACCTTTATATTGTTAAATGAATATTAAGAAATGGTAAGTAAAATGCTATATGGTTATCAAGTCACAGTAGAAACTCTACCCAGCATTACAAGTTCTAAGCTGTATTTTTACAAAAGAAGGTGGGAGTTCCCAACAATTCACATGAATCATATTGGAGGATTTTAATCCTTCAAAAAGCATATAATACTCAAGAAATATTATCAAACTATAGATTATCAAACTATATAGTTGCTGTCTACTCACTCGCTTGTAACATCTCCAACACTTTTTGTTAGTGATTTATCTTGCCTAAGTCATAGAAATAAATCATTAAGAATTTTATATCATCTAAGTTAAAGATTTAGCAGTGCCCCAAACCAAAGAATTAGTATAGCAAGTCCTATTTAACAAAACAAAAATAAACATTATTACATACCTGACAAATAGCAAATCCAAAACCGCTTGCAGAAATATTAACTGCAGTTGGCTGTACCACAGCAAGCTGAGTAAAGGTGGAAAAAGGTGAATAAGGCTAATTGTCCATATCTAGGTCCTTCCAACCAGCACAAGAGACCACTGTTATCCCTCACTGGGAGTGTAAGCTGTGTGCGCTGTAAAGTTCTAAGAACTTTACACACCTCACATGTCAAAAGTTATGGGTCAACCAGGTAAGGGGAGGTGAAGGCTGAGGAAGTGCACGTTAGTGCTGTGGACAGGTCTGCCCTTCATGCTGAAGCATGAAACAAAAGAAATGAAAGTCATTCCTCCCTCCTCAAGCCTCCCTCAGCATCCAAGTCGCTGGCCTTCCTGAGAACACAGTGGCACACCATCACTGACTGGGACCAACACTCCTTCTTTTGCCTTTGCCATCACCCCTCTCTCTCAGGTTCTAGCCTTAAAGTTACCGCTTTTACCCATTACCCTCAACTTCCTACAAGGTTAACCAAGGGAAAAAAGTTAGGGTCTAGCATAGCCCTTTATTCCATTTTAAAGAAAGAGTTCTACTACTGGTTCTATCAATTCACCTAAGAGGACATGTGGTGCAGCCTAAAGGAACATGGTCTTCGAAATCATGGGTTCAAATCCTAGCTCTACTGTTACTAGCACCATGATCTTGGGAGAGTCAGCTAAACTCTCTTAGCCTCAGTTTTATAATATGTACAGTGGGGATAAAGGTACTTGGTCTGAGAAGTAAATGCAATAAATAGCACATGTAAAGAAATCTGGCACAGGGCCTGCAAAGAATAGGAGCTCAACGGGTATTCATTCCTCTCCCAATAAGACAGGGCCCATGTTTTCTCCTTTTCCAAATCTGTCCAAAGTTCTCAACCCCTCCTCCCTTCCCCAGCTCAGCAAATTCAACCAAAGGAGGGTACTCCTTCCTGCCAGCACAGAGCTCTGGGAACAAGTCTTTGTTGAAGTCAACAGAAAGGAAATAAAGCAGTACTCCAGCAGAAGGAATCATCTACACAGACATTCGGAGAGGCACACCCTTGTCCACACCTCAGCTGTCTGGAGGAGAAAGCGGTTCTGTGTGCTAATCACAAACTTCACAGGACTCAGTGAACCGGACCCCACCATGGTCACTTGGATATTTGTCTCTTCTGTGTTCGTTAGGGCTGCAAACTCAGACAGGGCCTTCAAGGCCACAATGGTGTCCTGTTGGGAAAAGAAAAAGATGTGTGCACATAAGGCTATATTAAGGCCACCAAAGAGTAAATTTCAGTCACGTTTAGGATACCACTGCACACTCATCCACCTTCCTTGGGTGTGGAACTCTCCTCGATTCACCTTTAAATCTGCTTGACCTGGGGTCCAGGGAAGACTCAGAAAACATCCGCTGACTAGAACTGAGCTCCTATTGTACCGGGTACCAGAGACGACAAATGGCTAGTGAGACAGGGAACTAATTTATCCCATATGGGTATCAGATACGAGGTTTATATCAAAGATGATAAAAAATTAAAATTAGTAACTTAAACCTTTGATTTAAGTTACTAAACTTTTTAACTGCCATGTAATTTTATGAAGTCATGAAATAAAGCAACCACATATATAGATAGATAGATTTAATTTTATAAATAGTTTTACACACACACACACACACACATATATATATATAATTATTTTTATAAAGAAATTTAAAGTGATCATCACTCACCTGGGTAGATGCAAAACCTCCCAAGCTATTTCTCTGGCTGCTTAGCCACCTCATAATCGGGATTCCCTCAGAAATCTGATGCTGCAAGAAGTGTGAGAGCAGTGCATAGGCCGCAACTTCAATATCCAGGGAGCTTGGTTGCCAGGATTCAGAAAGTCTGGACACTGGCGACACCCAGAATTGCATGCCTCCTGCGGGAGAAAAGTAGCAATGGTCCGGCCAAATAAAGAAATATTACACTTGATACCATTAAACATTCCTACACTGGTCCAAGTTCTCCTTGACTAGCATAAAAGTATATATATTTCTATACATGTGTATAATGATGCCAAGCAAATATACATATATTCACACACACACACACACACAAACATGTACTTACATGTCACTTCTTAAACTATTAAAACTTATAAAATTTCATCCTTGTCCTTTTACTTATATTTGAGGACATTTTGATAAAAATATTTTCCCAAGAGAAATTCCATATGTTTGGCTCAAGACCAAAAAGCTATAAATTATTTTTTTAAAAAACCATACTCTATTCCAGACCATCCCAAAATATATTAGGACACATTGGAAAGAACCCTGTTCTGGGAATCTGCCATTAACCAGCCCTAACGGGAAAGACTCCTTTTTTCATTATCTGAAAGTTGGTGTTATAAGTTCAAAATCCAAGACTCCAGGGAAAAATGAGGGACCCCGGCCAGCCTAACAACCTTCCTAGAGATATTCCCGCTAGCCCCCAGACGAACATGTTACGTGGTACCCCCTCCCCATTCTCTCAAATATTACTATTTAGATGATGACTGCACTTCGGTGGAATGTGAAATAACTACCACTTAGCCAAGCAGAGAAGCAGAAATGTCAAGGACTACCTCAGCCTCGATGCAGGAATCTTCTAGTCCCCCAGCACCGCAACAGGTAATAAGGATGTAATCTAACTTACTGCTAATAATAACACACTGTTTTTTACAGTCTCAGAAGTCTCTAAGCACTTTCCATAACCACCCCTTCTTGAGTTAACAGAGCTTTAAATAAACTGACATGACCTAAAACTCTTTCTCTCCACCCAGCCCTTCTGCCACACAGAGGCCATTTGGAAAGTAATAACACCTGTAATTTTTGTCCTGTTGTAGCCCATAAGCAGCCGTATGATTAAAAAATCACAGTGCCCATTCCAAAACTGTTAAAAAAAAAATAGCCCACTAACAGCATTTTTTGACATTTGCATTTCTGTTAGCATTTTAATTCACATTTTCGAACACCTGCGATGTGGTAAGCCCTGCACATGATCTCATTTAATCCTCACAGCAACCCTAAAGCAGGTGTTACTCCCATTTTACAGACAGGGGAACTGAGGCTCCTAAAGGTAAGTAACGGAACCAGAATCTGAGCCCAAGTCTCTCCAAAAACCAAGGCCTTCATGATCACTCAAGGCCACCAAACCAGAAATGGCATCAGACGATTCAAAGGGTAACTGACACATGGCAGAACATATCTAAAAGAAGGAAAAACCCAAGGCCCCCAGTTCTCTAGAAAACTCTTGGGGAGAGTAGCAGCAGAATGGCCATGTCAACCCTTCCTGATCTTACTTGCATCTCATTTTCATCCCATTCAGAAGATATAAATGTAATCAACTTCACACCTGGTGTACAAAACTTTCTCACATCATTTACACATTTCATAACGCAGAACGGGTTGCACACATTACCTTCTTGTTCTGCTCTCCAAGTCAGCATATTCAAAGCGTCCTTGGCTTTAGGGCTTCTCACAGATGACAGCGCATAAGTTACAAGAGCCAGGGTGTAATTGTCTGAAATTCCTCTATCGAATTCAGACTCCAAAAAGTTGATAGACTCCTGCACATCACTATTAGGCTGGAAAGAAAAAATATATATTTTACTATTCAGAATAACCTGTCACCAACATATTTAAATAAAAAGTATTTTCAAACATTCATTCAAAAACCATTTCAGTGTCTATTAAGCACCCGACTTTGTGCTAGGCAATGGGAATCACCCCTGATCACTGACATTTAATGATCTGCCATGTATTTTAAAAATAACATTGCTTTTCAGGTTCTACAAGCAAATAGGTGCCATTCCGTAGAGGGAATAAAAAATAAGAAGTGCAGCTTTTGCTAGTGTTTTTCCCATTGACTATCACGAACTAAGATGAGGGCATAAAATATAGCCTGGGGCTTCCCTGGTGGCGCAGTGGTTGAGAGTCCGCCTGCCAATGCAGGGGACGCGTGTTCGTGCCCCGGTCCGGGAGGATCCCACATGCCGAGGAGCGGCTGGGTCTGTGGGCCATGGCCGCTGGACCTGCGCGTCCGGAGCCTGTGCTCTGCAGCGGGAGAGGCCACAGCAGTGAGAGGCCCACGTACCAAAAAAAAAAAAAAAAATATATATATATATATATAGCCTGGGAAAGATACCTCTCTTATATGACCTCAGGTGTTGAAGCTCTAAATTGAGGGGAAAGTATATATTCTCAGCTTTGGGGATGTGGCCACAAATGCAAAGCAAAAGAGTACTCAAATTCGAGACTTCAAATGTGATGGAATATTGCAACATCCTTTAAGTTTCCAGACATGTATTTGACCCATCAAGACCTACCTTCCTTGTGATTTTCCATCCATTATTTATTAAAGATTAAATACCTGATACTTTTTATATCCCAGGAGAGAAGTCACAATATAAGCCGTAAGGGTTACTGGACTTTTATTGCCACCTTGAAGCTCGCTGTGGATCACTCTTCCTGGCTCCCAAAATTCACCATTGGATTTTTGATGTCCTTTGAGCCAAGTATATGCTCTGTGTAACACATTCTGGTCAATATCTATGTAAGGATCAGCTTCGAGGAAACATCTTAAAACAAAAGCTGACAACCTTGGTGAAAAGGGGGGGAAAATTACATAAAACACACTTTATACAGTCCTCCAAATTACACTGAGCAATAAAACACCAACAATAACAACCCTTTTCCCCCATCAGAAGATTCACCAAAGGGCCAATCACTGAAGATAGAACATAAGGAAGAAAGACGACAAAGAGACAACAAAGTGAACAACTCAGCTGGGCCAGTGGGCACTGCTTCCCCTTGGGTGTGGCTGGGAAATTCCAGGTCAACTCACAAAAGAGCAGAGTTGATAAGAACTTGGAAATCATCTAATCCCGCCTCTTGATTTTAAAGGTTGAGAATTCGAAACTCAGAGTTAAATAAACTGTCCAAGGTTATTCATCTTTGGACTGTTCCGGGTATTTACCAAGGAATATCTCATCACACACTTAGCTCAACCCTAAAGCAGTGGATGAAGTATGTTTAGTTCACAATCAAACTGTCGTGCTTTTGAGTAGAAGACATGGATATTTTCTCTCCTATAGGACAGGAATCAGCAAATTACAGCCTGTAGGCCAAATCTGTCTGCGCCAAACACAGCCCACAGTCTGTTTATATGTGCCTCTCCCCACTGCACAGCCCCCAACCTCCACCTAAGAACAGTTTTTAAATGGAGAAAAATAGTGAGTGTGGGGACTTCCCTGGTAGTGCAGTGGTTAAGAATCTGCTTGCCAATGCAAGGGACATGGGTTCGATCCCTGGCCCAGGAAGATCCCACATGCCGTGGAGCAGCTAAGCCCCTGAGCCACAGCTACTAAGCCTCCGCTCTAGAGCCCATGAGCCACAACTACTGAGCCCGTGTGCCACAACTACTGAAGCCCGCACGCCTAGAGCCTGCACTATGCAACAAGAGAAGCCACCACAATGAGAAGCGCGCGCACCGCAACGAAGAGTAGCCCCAGCTCGCCACAACTAGAGAAAGCCCGCGTGCAGCAACGAAGACCCAATGCAGCCAAAAATAAATAAATACACTTATTTAAAAAAAAAAAAAGAAAGAAAGAAAGAGAGGGTGGAGGGAAAAAGGAAAAATATGCAACAGAGGCTCTATGGGGCCTGCAATGCCTAACATATTTACTTTCTGACCCTTTAAAGAAAAAGCATGTCAATGTCTGCTACAGAACACTAAATACTGAGGTGAAAAGAACATCAAGCAATAAAACACTGAAACCTTTCTATTTATGGATCTACATCCTGACTTGTGCCAAAAGAAAATGTGAAGCAGATCTGTTTCATCCTATAAAAGATTTAGTGTGGCAAACATTACTAATATTCAATATGATGCAGTTCTCTTTCACTTTGGGTATGCAGAAGAATTCACTTCCTTGCCCACTTGAAGTTAGGCATGGCCATGGGGCCAGCTCCGGTCATGGTAAAGTGATAAGAAATCTTATACCGGGCTGAAGCTTCTAACTGCCACTGCTGGATACTCCAGCCTTCTGTCCCCAGGCTGCAGCAAGCCTAGAGGCTCAGGGTGAGTTGGTGGCTGAAACAAAGACCGCAGAGCCCCCTGCTGAGCCACAGTGGAAACGCAGCATGAGCACAACCTTTGTTAATAAACCACTGAGATGTAGATAGAGGGTTGTTACCACGGCACACCTTATCTAATCCTACTGACACAATTAGCCAATCTTTTTCTGAGTGAAAAATGAATGTGAAGATAGTACAAGGAGAGAGTAATCATCCAAAATCAGCCATGTGGAGATTTCATTCTGGAGGAAACTCTGGAGGTTCATTACTTAACCTCATCACTGTTTTTTCACAAAAAATAACCTTAAAGAAACTACATTGGGGCTTCCCTGGTGGCACAGTGGTTCAGAATCTGCCTGCTAATGCAGGGGACACGGGTTCGAGCCCTGGTCTGGGAGGATCCCACATGCCGTGGAGCAACTAGGCCCATGAGCCACAACTACTGAGCCTGCACGTCTGGAGTTTGTGCTCCGCAACAAGAGAGGCCCACGCACCGCGATGAAGAGTGGCCCCCGCTTGCCACAACTAGAGAAAGCCCTCGCACAGAAACGAAGACCCAACACAGCAAAAATAAATTAATTAATTAATAAACTCCTACCCCCAACATCTTCAAAAAAAAAGAAAAAAGAAACTACATTGACTGTATTAATACAAAATTAGTGTTGATTGTGTCCGATTAAAAGAAGACCTATGTCGGGCTTCCCTGGTGGCGCAGTGGTTAAGAGTCCGCCTGCCGATGCAGGGGACACGGGTTTGTGCCCCGGTCCGGGAAGATCCCACATGCCGTGGAGCGGCTGGGTCCATGAGCCATGGCCACTGAGCCTGCGCGTCCGGAGCCTGTGCTCCGCAACGGGGGAGGCCACAACAGTGAGAGACCTGCGTACGGCTAAAAAAAAAAAGACCTATGTCACAATACTCCACATTTCTAACCAATTTTTCTTACCAGCTACATCATCATCATATTTTATTGCTGCTTTTCCCACCAAAAAAGGGGGGGATTTATGACTCATCTTTTCTAAATAAAAACATCTGATGTACTAGTGTTTTAAAATCATATTTAAAAAGGAGAATCTCTTTTAAAGCCAGGCTGTGGAAAAAGCAGCCTCCAAGCTGATACAGAGACACATCTGTCAATTTCATGGCCATCGTGACATAGTGAGAGCCCATTCGGTGACATGGATTTGTTCCATTAGCAAAAACACTTACCAAGTGCTCCCAGAAGGGTCATCATTCCCAAAAGCACTGAAAGAGCCATCTTCCCTCTGATAGAGAAGTTCTCTCTGGTAACCTGAAGGCACCAAAATAGACAGATAATCAACGTAATCAAGTTGCAATGAATGGAAGTTTCTATTCATGACTTCATATTGAGGAAACATGGGCAGAGAATGGGAAAGAAGACATGAAATCAACTAACGCTGAATATTTTCTATATCATGTGCTGTGGGAGATTAAGAACATCAGGACTTTTCAAGTAGAATGCATAAAATAAGAACCGCGATAGCCCCAAACTGTAATAAAGTCAGAAGAATACCATCACACAGACAACAATTCTATCCATTCAAAAGCAAGTAAATTAAAAAGCAGAGTATTTAACTCTGTAGTGTTAATTACAATGGTTTCAATGCTTAGTCATCTAAAATTGTTTGCTACCTAAGAAAAATACTAGCTACAGTATCATAATTAAAATTTAAAGCTAAAACGAGAAGTAAAAATACTTTCTACTCTTAGACCACCACCAGCAGAAGGGAGAAAATTGCTAAATAATCTAAGACAGTGGCTCTAGAATTTTTTGGTCATAACCAACTGAGGTAAACCCCCAAACTGACCTGTCTGCCCAAATGTCAACTCTAAGTTCTCACTAAATAAAGAGAACATGGTGGTGGTAATGAAGTCTCAGTATAGAACTAAATTGGGGAGGGCTTATGGCTCACAGATCTGCTTTAACAAAAGCAGATGTTTCATATTTGCAAATAAATGGTTGCAAATAGAGGCAGATGTTTCATATTTGCAAAGCAATGCATGCAGGTCTCAAAGTCCAGCGACTGAGAAATCATAGGCCAAACACTGAAAGAGTCACCAGACAAGCCCAACAAACCAACTCGCTAAAAATTATATTAGCCATAATTTATCAATAAAAAGTAAGCAGAAGCAGAAGCCAAAAACATTTCCAACTCAAGGCTTTATCAGTGATTCTCTGATAACCGAGAATTCTTACTGAAAACTACAGGATTCTACTACAGGAGGGGAAGGCACACAGAATGAACCCAGCACCATGGCCATGTAGTGCCTGGCAACCATAATCACTGGTGAAATGTTGAATTCCATCCCCAATAAACTCTAGTAACAAAAACATTTTACTTTATGAATACCACATTTTAGAAGCATCAATAACTATAATTAATTATTCATATTTGACTAACAAAATATGAGCATTAGTCATTTAAGATTCGTTAATTTGCTCTTGCCAGGTCCCAAACTTTTCTCATTGAGCCTTTCCACAAGAAACCCCAGCCAGATCTGAGTATCTGATTTAAGCTACAGTAAGACAAAATGCATAAAAAACAAGACACTGTTTCACGGTGATCTTTAAGACCTACAGTAAAAGAGATGTAAACAGCATTTAAGTGATGAGAGAATTTTCTTAATTTGAAGAAGGGAGCGTTAGGTTATACCCTTCATGTTTAGAACTGAAATATTACAGCACAGTAACTAACCAGCCAACTTTTATCCAACTGTGACTAGGTGTCAGGAACTGGTCAAAGCCCTTTTCAGGTATTAACTCAGGTAATTCCACAACTCTATGATGTAGACGCTATTATTATCTGCTTTTTAGAGATGAAGAGACCTAAACTTAGAATATATCATGTGCAAGGTCACACAGCTCATAGGTACTGAAATCAGGCATTAGCCAAGGTCAATCTGTCTCCAAAGCTGCTGCTTCCTACTAATTCATAGAGCTCTTTCAATATTAATATATGAAAAGTTTTTCGCACAATACCTTTTACATTCTCTCAGTAAACAACAGATATCACTCTGTAACATAGGTGTAGAAAAAGACTTTCTAACCACCAAACTTTTAAGAAAAAATAACTACAAAAAAATTGTTTCAAACTTTTCCATGGCAAAACACTATAAACAAAGTTGGAAAACAGATGACAAATTAAAGGAAAATATTTGCAACATGTAAGATGGATAAATGGTTAATCTTCCTAACATTAATACTATACAAGTCTATGTATATGTTTTATATATTAATACTATATATCTTCACATATAGATTATATAAAGAATATTTTTAGTTTAGAGGAAAAGATAAAAACTCCTATAGAGAAAAAATGGACAAAAGACAAGTACAGACATTTCACAGAAAACAAAGAGAGAAAGACAGACCTTAAGACAGGAAGAAATGTTCAACTTCATAATAGGTGAAATGCAAATGAAAACTACATATTGAGATACCATTTCTTACCCACCACTTTAGCAAAGATTCAAAAGCTTGACCATTCATCCTGTTGGGGAGACTGTAAGGAAACCAGTACTCATCCATTGCTAGAGGGAATTCCAAATGGTACAACTCCTGTGCAGTAGAATGTCTATACCTTTTGACCCAGTAATCCTACTTCTAGGGATATATCTGAAGATATACCTCCAACAACACAAAAATATATATGCGGAAGACTACTGATTGCAGCATTATTTGTAATTGCAAAAACGTTGGAAACAACCTAAATGCCACCAAATTGGAGACGGGTTGAATAAACTGTGGTACGTGTGTACAACGGAGTACTATGCAGCTGTGGAAAAGAATGAGGACTCTCTCTGAGCTGATGAAGAGCAATTTCCTGAATATACTGTTAAGTGAAAAAGGCAAAGTCTAAAATAGCACATATAGTGTACTACCTTTTGTGTAGGAAAAAGAGAAAATAAAAAAACATACGTTAATTTCTGCTAAGAGAGAAAAAGAAAGAGAGAGAGAGAGAAGCTAAACAAGAAAGTAACGCAGAATGTTATCCCCAGAGGGTAGGGAAAAGGGATCTGAGAGGGAAAGATACCCCTCTTCATACACCTTTTAGAATAAGTTTGACTTTTGGAAGCATGTTAATGTTTTCCATATTCAAAAAGTAAAATAAACAAGAATGGAAAAAATTCAATGACAGGCACTATTAACACAACCTTAGTTCACTCTAACATGTTTTAGTTAACCTTGAAGAAAACGCAACATATAATCTCTTCCTTTGTCAGAGCTGGTCAAGGATCACAGAGAAGCCAGAGTAATTTTCTAATGTTCACAAAGGAAGTGAGCAAAAGAGGCCAAGACATTCTCCCTCAATTTCCAATTCAGGAGTAAATCTACCAGGTAGCAGAGTTTACGTGTGACCTCAATCTGATATAGGAGGAAGGGAAGGGAAGGGGAGGGGAGGGGAGGGGAGGGAAGGGAAGGGAAGCGAAGCTCCAGGTCGCTCCATCACTAGAGGAGGTACTTCTGTGGGAAGATGGACCAACCTCAGGTGAGGACCAAGTGCCTCCAAGGCCCTGAATCACATCAACAATGGCAGTTCCAAGTATGAGTTATTGTAAAACCTTCAGAGAGATGAGATCATGGAGATGAGATCAGTGTTTATGGAAATTACCCTTCAGGTGGCTGCCCTCCAAGAGTTGCCATTAATATCAACAATTAGCACAGTTCTTCCACCAGGAGCAACGAGCCCAGAGAAGGGGACTTGCAGACACAGTCTCCAGGTATGGAGTGCATTTCCTGAGCTGGTTTAGATGAAACTGAAAATCCAAACCTCCAGCTCTGCTCCCTGGGCAAAACAGGAGGGAACCCAAACCAAGTAGGTCTCCTGTGAGGTGTCCTTCCTTGTCTTAAGCCAGACATGCATCATTAGAGAACCCTTGGCTGCATCATGATAGATGAGATAGGCAAAAAGATGGTTTTCTCCAAAAGTTTATGAGGAAATTAGAGTATTGCCTTCAAGTTCATCGTCTTATGAATAGCTCCTGAGTTACAAAGTAACAGCATAATCAGAATTAACAGACACTTCTAAAATTTAAAATAATGATTCATGAAATGTTGTTTATAAAGAGTCAGACAAGATGCATACTTAGTGGGTGGTGAATTTTCTTTGAAATAGCCATGAATGGAAAATAATTACAATTTATCATAATAAAGAGGCAAGTAGCACTCATAGAAACACATAGAAAACTAACATTCTAAACATAATTTGACTTAGTTTACCACGTGTCAAAATTGCATACAAATAAAGTAAAATTGGCTGCTCAATCACTTTCTCTGGTTAAAAGCTGATAAAAATATTCTCTCTACTAAAAGAAGAGTATTTGTTATCAACTTCCTTACTCTCTCTGACATGAATGGAAAGTGAGAACTTCACCAACGTTTTCTTTTTTAGCATCTTCACTATTGCCTCTAGCCATTCTTGTGATGGCGAAATGCAGCATCAGAATTCTGAAACCTACTTTTTTCCTGTTTTTATTCCAATAGAGAAAATATAATGTGTTTTCAACTAAGTTTGGTGTGAGTCTTACTTGAAAAACTGAGCCGCATGCACTGCAATTTAAATATTTGAGAAAAACAAGTGGTTTAAAATCTCCAATTAACAGGTCTGGGATTTCTAGTCCTTGTCAAAAACAGTTTCCATGTTACGGTTCTATTTTTCTTTTTGACAGTGAAAGACACTTCATTCAATGATGTAGCTATTGTTTTGACCAGAAAAACAATAAGTTAGGTTACTGGGGTCCTGGGCCAAGCATGATTTAAGGAAAACCATGCGCTGTTCACAACTGACATTTAAGTAATATAAATCATGACTTGCGCCAAAGCCACTTTAATTCCTTAAAAAATAAAAACAGGGGGCAGTGGGAAGATGGCGGAGGAGTAAGACGCAGAGATCACCTTCCTCCCCACAGATACACCAGAAATACATCTACATGTGGAACAACTCCTACACAACACCTACTGAATGCTGGCAGAAGACCTCAGACCTCCCAAAAGGCAAGAAACTCCCCACGTATCTGGGTAGGGCAAAAGAAAAAATTAATTAAAAACAGAGACAAACGAATAGGGACGGCACCTGCACCAGTGGGAGGGAGCTGTGAAGGAGGAAAGCTCTCCACACACTAGGAAGCCCCTTCGCGGGCGGAGATTGCGGGAGGCGGAGCGGGGAGCTTCGGAGCCGCGGGGGAGAGCGCAGCAACAGGGGCGCGGAGGGCAAAGCGGAGAGATTCCCGCACAGAGGATCGGTGCCGACCGGCACTCACCAGCCCGAG